ATATATATATATATATATATATATGTGTATAATATTTTTTGTAATTTTTAAGAAATAATTTGTTATTTGTAATTAGAGATTATTATTTTTTGCCTGTTGTATATTCATAAATACAAGTTATAAACCTTTTCCTTTTTGCAGACCATTGAACATCCAGTACGAACCAATCAAATACCAAGACAAATTCCCGAGCAATCTGTTTACACCCAGCCTGTGCCAGGAATTATTATGGGAGGCATTCTTCCATTTGGATGCATCTTCATTCAGTTGTTCTTTATCCTGAATAGTATTTGGTAAGTTCTTATTCAGTCTTACATTGTTAAGTATCATTTTGTAGGCTTATATCTGTTTTTGTATCTTTCCCAGTTCTTAATGTTTATTGGAAGTTGGCTTGCTTGCATTCATTCATTTAAGACTTGATTGATTTAACAGCTATTTAATCAGAAAAGGCACCCTGTTTTGTTGGACTTGTGAAAATGTGATTAATTATGCCTTACTTATTTGTTCCCAATCAAAAAGAAGGATATAAGATATAATGACATGTGCATCCTGAGTGTAAATCAACTTTTAGATTGAAAATAATTTGTTTTGTTGCCAAATTATGGCACTGTTAATGGTGCTTGTACAAGCACACCAAAATAAGAAATATTTTGGTCATTGGTCTTAATTTTTTCTATATGGGTATATTTCCATCACACGTGTATAATAGGGGTTTGAGAAATAGATATATATGGCATGTACACAACTGTAATATGGAAACCCCAGACCAATAACTTGCACATACTATGCTACAAGCTTCTAAGTGTCACATTAAATAGCAAAGTTGATATGGCTAGCATAATTGACATTTTGAATTTTGAAGATATAGGTGAGTTTGCACTTGGATGGGCTTGACATCCAATATGGTGCAAATAACATTGATCCTTATTAAGAGGAAAAGCAAAAGGTTTTGTGAACATGGTGTGGCATTAGTCACATAAACTTTCAGCTAAGTAGATACTCATGCAATTAGAGGAAGACTGATTATAAATGCAAACTTCCAACAGTTTCCAAAAACAAAATAGACCTATGTGACCCAACAATATGTTAAGCAAAAGCAGCAGTGGTAAACATCTTTGAACAATTCTCAGGATAGTACTCTACAGTCAAATGAAGCTTGCACTGGTTATAACACTGCCAAATTGTCAACACCAAGATTCACACACATTAAGGTGTATAATGATGCTATACCTGACTATTTCACAAAGCTTTTTAAAAACTTTTGCATTTTAGAGAAAGTCATTTGGTTGAAAGCACACCATTTCAGCAGACCAGCAAATTCGATCAAATGTTCAATTGCTTCATATCATGGTTAAAACGACTGGTAAATTTTATACTTCTTTTTTTTTGCTTACTTTAGCATAAATACATATGTTTGAACTCAAAACAATCATTTAATGTCTTGTTACATATAACTATTTGCATTTGTTCTTCAATCTAGTGCCTTCTTGTTTGGGATCCTGCTGTGTCAAAGTGATGACAGAGGTTTCATGTTTGGAGGGCAATTATCTTCATGACCAAAAGGCTTAAACATTTTTATGCATTCTTTGTGTCATATATCAACCTACCATTGACACAAATTAAATAAATCAGTTTTCAAAATGTGCTATTTTATCTTGAATAGATCCCCTTTCATTTATTTCAGATCTTAAACAGCTGTAAAGTTTTGCTCTTGTTGAATAACTTCTAATAATAATTCCAACATTTTAAGTTTCAGTCATGGGTTAATGATAAGTGTGCCCAAACTGTAAAACTGTAATACTTCAAAACCAGTTGCCTCTAACACATACTGCACTTTAGGACCATAGATTATAAAAGTGGTAGTCAAGTACCATTAATCATTAGGCAAAAATTGGTGGTGGATGTTATTGATTGCCTTTCCTCTAGTTTATCATTTAAAAATTAGGGGTTGCTATGTACAAGTAACCTTTTGTATAGCTCTGCATGTAAATTCTGAAGAAAAAAACAAAAACATTTCATTATATAGAGAATTTATAAGTAGTGTGAGACTTGTGTAGTATGAACTCATGAAAGTTACAAAGATTTTAATAAATAAACCAAAATAAAAATTTTTAAAGTGATTAGACTTTTAAATTAAAATAGAAACTTTTCTGTTCCAAAACAAGATAGCTTTATGTACTTGCTACAGTTTTATTATGTAAAAACTTGCTTAATATCTTTTATGTATTTTCATAGATCAATGCAAACTGACTTACTCTGAGGACTACATTTCTTGCAGTAAAATGGTTGAGAATTATTTTATCCCCTAAGTCCTTAGTTCATTATGAACTTTGATCAACACAACGTAGTCCTGTGTGTAATCTAGTGATGTATAAGAGTATAGGTACACATCCACATAGTGTTTTTTTTTTCAATTCAAAAGAGTTTAATAAATTTATTTATCAGTAGAGTTTATGAATAGATTTTTCTAACAGTAGCTTTTCCCTGTAGAATGAAAGCTATTAATATCTTTTCAAATCTTGTGAAAGTTAGCATTCTGCTCAGATTGAAGTTTTCGTACAAGACTTGACCTTTAATGAAATCATAAAAGATTTACACTTTTTCTCATTTATATGCATATAAACAATAACAGTATCTTATCTTACAAAAAGTGTTACTGTTAGAAACATCATAAATATTTTGGTTTGATTAAACATCAACAGCTGTTTTTCCTGTCTTAAAAAATGTTAAATTTATTTTTTTTGACATCAATGTATTTTCATAACAATTCTTATTGGATAATTCTTTTCTTCTCTCTCTCTGTAGGTCCAGCCAGATGTATTACATGTTTGGATTTCTGTTCCTTGTCTTTATCATTTTGATCATTACTTGCTCTGAAACAACAGTTTTACTGTGTTATTTCCATTTGTGTGCAGAGGTTAGTCATTCATGTGTATTTGTGTGATATTCTATATGTGTGTGTGAAATATTAGAGATTATTTTGTAAGTTACAACTAATTATTTAGAGGTCAGCTACCACTTGGATGTATCAATACATTCAGATGTTTAAAATCATCTTAGAACATTACAAGAAATAGTTGTTAGGCAAGAGAATTAATATATTGTTTTTTTGCAGAACTAATTGTTGTATAGATTCTTATTTTACTTGTTAATTAGATAAATGTTTGAGGAATTTAAAAAAAATTTAAATGTAATTGAGTAGCAATACTTTTTTTTCTTTGTACCATGCATTATAAAAACACCATTAGAATTATTTTAATATTATATTTCATTTTTTAACTTACTTGTGATAGTTTTTATTGGTGAAAGCAAACAAAAGATATGTTTAAGGTACTGAATATATCTTGGGTATACAGTGTTGCATGCGTTGTGTTTTAGTGAAAGCTGCTTTATCTCACTCATGTACATTAATACAGGTTTTGTCACTTTGGTTACCAGAGACATATGTTTTGTTTCATTGGTTTTTAGTAGTACATATTTTCCATTAACCTACAGTGGCAATTATATTTGGTCTCATTGGATTACAGTGGTCCATTTTTTATCTTGTATGTATACAACAGTATACATTTATGCTTGAATTATTGTTAATTGGCTTATAACAGTAGTTCTTTATCAGTAATTATATGCTATCTTAATAATTTTAAGCCTGTAGCTCACATATTATTTTATACATAATGTATTTCTACCTGAAATACAGAAGTTGTTTGAAGTTTTTAATATTTCGATAAAAATAAATGCAAGACTAATTTCAAACATAGATGAATAATTAGACATACTTAGAGTTTAACATTGAAGTCAATGGTAATATAGGCTACATGTGAAGTGTATAGTTGTTAATAGTAGATGTGAAATCGGTGGGAAATGTTTGTTTTCTAATTTTTCCAAGATGCACGTTTGTTTATTTCCGAGTGAAGTGCATTATTAAGATATTAATCAAAACCAGTAAAAAAAAAAAGTGTATACATGATCATCCTTTTCTGATTTTATAATTTGATGTGATTATTAGTCCTCAGTTTGTAATTACAATATAATTACTATTTCTCAGTTTTGGGTATGATGCAATTATTATCTATCACAATGTAATTACTAGGCCTCAGTTTGTAATTACGGTGTAGTTACTTGCTGTCAATTTTAAAAATTTTGTTTGGAAAATTAACACCAAAATACCAACAGCCACTATTAGTTTTGTTACCATCATATATTCATGCTTTATCTGTTATGTTTACAACAATGCATATTTTTCCCTCATCTTAATAGTGGGTCATATATGTGTATTACAAGAATCTTATGAACTTACACATTCACACAAATTATCTTGTAGAAAAGCAGTAGCTGTTATGATTTATATTTACTTTTGTGTAGACATATTTTCAAGGTATGAACTACAATCACACAAATATTTTTATTTAAGGATGTAAAATGTAGAAAGTAATAATTAAGAATATACACTGGTCAAGTTCCTATGAGACAAGAATATCAGTTATTGAATATTTTTTTTGTAATATAAAAATTTTCTGTTTCAGGACTACCACTGGTGGTGGCGTTCTTTTCTAACTAGTGGCTTCACAGCAGTCTACCTGTTTGTGTACTGCATTCATTATTTTATAACCAAGTTGAACATCACTGGTTTCACCTCAACATTCTTGTATTTTGGCTACACTTTTATTATGGTTTTCCTCTTCTTCTTATTCACAGGTATTTTTAATATAGTTTAAAGCAAAGAAATTGAAAATTTTGGCTATGAGCTGTAAAAAGTTTTCACAAATGTGTTTTGTAAAAGATTCTTTTATGAGATACTATTTAACTCTTACTTGATGTAAGAAGTTAATATAAAGAATGTTAGTTTGTTTTACATTTAATAAAGATTTATCTTGACTGGAAATTCTGGTCAAACATTTTTTCTAAATGTTTATAGTGATACTTATATAAGTTATGCATTTTATTTTATATAATCTTATGAACATTTCTCTCTATTTATAATTACATCTGTGTTCTTTTTTTGTTTTTTCACAGGTACTGTTGGATTTTTTGCCTGTTTTTGGTTTGTGAGAAAAATCTATAGTGTGGTAAAGGTTGACTGAATGTTAATCATATTTAGGGAAATGGGTAGGTTCAACACACCACAGAATGAAGCAGTCACACCCTATTTACTGTCTATACTGACCCTTTAGATAAAGCTTGATAGTGAGATAAATGGAACCATTGACAGTTTAGTGTTATTTGAAGCTGTGCTTGATTATTGTTGCACGGACTTGGATAACCTAATGCACTGAAATGATATGGGTGATGTATCATTTAATATACATATATATATATCTATCACCGAAGACCATGGTCAAAGTGTTTTGTGATTAATTGGAAAAGATATAAAGTATTATGCAACTTCAGCAAACTTGTTTTAAGTACAGTTATTTTATAGTTTATTATATATACAATATATATATTGGGTGTTTCAGAAAAATGTTTCACTGATTCTGAACTTATAGGAAACTTGTAAAGAAAAGACCTTAGTAAATTTAAACAGAAATTCTCTGTCTGTCAGCATTTGAAATTTTTAATATCAGAAAAATGAAAGGTGAATTTAAGAAACATAAGCTCAAGAAGCTTGTAGTTTAGTAATATTATCTTTCTTTTAATATTTATCATTGTAAGAAAAAAACTTAAGATAAAAAAAAGTTGATAAACCATATAAAAAAAATTACAGATGTACCTATGATATAGATGAAGAGGTTTATTCATGACAACTCAGTATATTTTAGCATTACCTGTTTCAGATGTGTAGGGAAGCACATTATGCTAATACAGTGATAGGTAAACAAATAAAAATTTGTAAGCACAATCAGTGGAGTAGGAAGGAGTTGTAAAGTGGGGGTGCTTGACTAGACATGCAGATTTTACAATGAGTGTTTGACAGTATAAGGAGAAGCTAAAAGCAGTTCCCTTGCTGCCAAAGGTAGCTCAATCTAGGGGAGTCTTGGGGCATGTTCCCCAGGAAATTAATATGATACTATGATTTACAGTTGATATATAAGTCAAATATGTAAATGTGGGGTGCTACAGCACTCCCAGTTTCAGCACCTCTGACAATGATATTTAGTGTAGAAATCACTACATGTTTCAGCAGTATCTTGGTCAGTCTTCTTCAGGTCTGACATAAACCTAACCATACAGGGCTTATATACAAAAAAAAAAAAATATGGGAATACAAGGTTTTCTGATCAAAGGAATGTTGTCACATGAGTGTGTTGAAGTTTTGCAAGTGATGTGTATAAGGTAATGAGATTGCTAGGGCTGGTCAATTGTAAAGAATACTAAGAGAGTATAGGTATCCAGAGTTTGCTAAAGTTACCAGGACCATTGTCATGGTTTAGGGATGAACCATCTTTCTGTTATAATTTCTAAACAGTCACATTCTTTTTTATTATTGAGTTGATGTACGAGAAAAAGTTTATCCCAAAGCAGCCTATCGCTAGATATGAATTAATGAAATTTTAGCTCAAATTTTTAAAATTCTTCTTTATGCATTTGACCTTTTTGCTGTTTGCATCAGATTTTTCAAAGAACAAGAAATTTGTCCAATATGTTTCTTACCACGTTCTCATGAGATACTATGTACACCTTGTGTCTGTTCTTTCTGTAATACTTATTTCAAGTTAGGGGTAGCATGTCTTAGTGTCTTGGACTTGTGGTTGGATGGTTGTTGGTCCACATCATGCTGTTATGTCCATGAGCAACACTTACTTTTCCCCACTTGTTCCAATATATCCAAGTGTATGATGGTACCAGCTGATAGCTGAAGATTTACCTGCAATGGATAACCATTCTCATCCACTTGAAACTGGAGTTTGAAAGCACCATTTCTTTGTGCCTTGCAAAGAATTTGTAAGGATTTACGTTTTTTACTTAAAGTTAGGTAATAAGATGCTTATCTTAGAGAAAGTTTAGATATAATTTTTACAACAGTTAATCCAGACGAAAAGGAATTGAGAGGAATTTGTCATGTTTTTTTACAGTCTTGAAGTTTAATAAAATTTCTGTCTGTGGTATTATGGTTAAAACCTATAGATAATGTTACATTCTTTTAGTAATTCATTGCTCTTTGTAGATCATTTTTTGAGTTCAGAAATGTATAGGTTGATTTACTAAGATAAAGTGACTTTTAAAGTAGGTAGAAGTTTATTGTGATGGGATACTTTTATCTTATGTTGTGATACCCCTGTACAAGACAAACCAAGGTACTGTCAAGACACATAGTATGCTTTCTACAATATATGTCATGTGCTTGCAAATTGTTTGTTAACTTACTACCATGTTTTAATTTGTTTTCAACAGTTAACATTGTGCAAAATCTTCTTCTTTTTCCTTTATAAAGGTATTATAATTATTTTTGGATAGAATTTTTTATGTTTTTTTTTGTGCTTCTACTATTGTTATTTTCAGAAATATTCTTCTCAAGTTGCTGTAGAAGATAAAAGTTGTCTTATATTTAAATAAACATTTTAAGTTTCTTCAAGCAGTAATATTTTACAGTGTCAACTTTCAAAATTAATTCTTTCTTAACTTTGGTGCCACATCAGTAGTCAACAAACTGTTTGCTAGTTTTTTCTAAACAAACCTTAGTTTCCAGTCACATCAACAATGGATTAGTGAGTGTTAGTTTTTATTTTTAGAGTATCTTTAATTATGATCCTGTATTGCTATATTTTAATGATGTTATTATTTGATTTTATAAATACTAATATAAATTAAAATTCTTCCTGATATAATTATTATATTGATACAGTTGTTGACCTTTTTAAAATTAATTTAGTCATGGCATCTGTATTAAAAAAATTTTGGAATGCAACATCCTTTGCATGTGATGTGTGAGCTAGTAAATATAAAATACAACTTTAAGAATCTTAAAAGCTCAGGTATAGCTAATTTTACCAATACCATAATTTATAGTTGTAAGTCACTCTCTTTAATATATTTGTGTTATAAAGTCTGTAGTGATATGTATGGCCAGAAGTGATATAGTATTTTTTTGTGTAATGTTATTCTTGGAGTGTCTGCTATGTTTATCATATTTTTACTTGATGGAAATTTACTGCACCTGTCATTGACAGTTAATTTACCAATAGTGTTTTTGAGCATTAAACATAATACCCAATGATTAGCCAAAGATTGCTTAAGTTTATCACCAGGTCTAATTAAGCTTATTTTTATGGAGAAAAACAAAAAACAGTTCTCTGAGAATTCAAAAATATTTCAGTAAAAATTGTTGTGTTTGAATTTGCTTTTAAAGTTCACATAAAAATGTATACTAAATACCGTATTGGCTTGATTATAGAGCCCGATCTCGAGTATAAAGCGACTCCCCATTTTCAGAAACCATGAGAAAGAAAAAAAAATGAATGTTATAACGTCCATTATTGGTCTGCAAAATCAATTCTATAACTGAACAACCTGCAGGTGGATTAGTTGCAAAAATTAGAGATGACCTTGAGCAAACATCTGGCGCGCATGCGTAGACGGATGCTATCTGGACATCCAGGAATGCGACAGACTAGAGTAGAGGGAAGGAGCCTATGGTCGGCCGCAATTATAAGGCGACTATGCATTTTACAGCCTAATTATTAATCAACAAACATCGCCTTATAATCGGGCCAATACGGTAAGTATATATGGATTTACATTTTGTACACCTCAAGGTTCTAATGTTTTTACTCATTACATTCAAATCTGTTTTTTTCGAAATCAAAGACAGTAACTTGAATAAGAATATGTAATTTAAAATAAAGATAACTGACGTTAATAATTTATCAACAAACTGATAGGAAACTCAACAAGCCAGGTGTTATTTGAATATAGAGTATTATTGTTGTTGTGAAATTAGTGTAAAACTTCTTCACTGTAGTATCTCAACTTAATTTTGCTATTGAAATCTAAGGTATGGATCCTTTGTAATGTGTCGATCTATAATAAAACAGTTATTAAAAATATTTCTTGTAGTTATTAAATAAAGTATAAAAGGTTGAGTATTTATAATAAAATTAGTTTGAATAAGTAAATCCAGTCACGTAACAACCACAGCCTATATAGTTACAGTAGAATGGAGTTTATCAGAACTACGTTTTGACATTGGCATTTCGTAGTGTAACGCCACCAAAAAATGATTCACTTTCTCTTGCAAAATATTCATAAATTTATATCATAAAGATGTGTTCAAAATGGGGATTTAGAATTTTTATGACTGAGACCACCCTTGTATTTAATGACAGTGGAAACAAAGGAACAAAGATTAACATTTATGGAGTTTTATGCCCTTTTAACTCACCATTTAGTTAATTTGGGTATGAAAATAATATTGTGATATTGTGCCAAATTTAAAATTCGGTGTTATACGGTGAACTAACTGCTTAATGAAAATATAATTGCTAAATAGAAGCCTAAAATATTCCTTGATTTGCCGTACCCTCTGCTGTGGGCTGCAATTTCGCCTATTCAAGGCACATCAACATAGCGTGGATTAGTTAAAAAAATACAGTAAGGTTTGTTGTAATGATGATCTGTATATAATATTTATGGTGTGTAACGCCCTTCTGATTCACTAGTTAGTAACCTTAATTAAATTAGGTATGTAAAATAATACTGTGGCATTGCGCTGAATTAATATTCAGTATTATTATACAGTGGACCATATTATCATTCAACAGTATTTTTATGTGCGATGCCTTGATGTGTGTAGACGCATGGCTTAAGATCTGTACCATTTTTAAAACATTATTTTCTTGCACTTCTCTCTGTTGGTTCCATTGTTTTTAATAGGTTGTAACATCATAACATAATAAATCATTTTACACGGTAACACTATAGTACGTACAAGAAAAAATACCCCAGCTGATACGAAGACACGTGACAACAAACTAAGCATTATATTACTTAGCAAAGTGCGTAAAATAGACTAAAATTGTAACAATAAAGTACAATTCATGACCATTTGTTTCTGGAGAATCTGATATACGAGTCTCCATTCAACGAAGTCAGAAATATGTCCACCTCAAACTATATAAACTGGAAACGACTTGTAACACCTTGGGATCTTCGACTTGTGACACCTTAAGATCTGTTATTTTCTATAAAATTTGTATCTTTCACGTTCTTTTAATTATTAGCTAATTTAGGACAATAAAAACATCACCCTTTTGTAGATTCTGACATTCTTAGCACAATGTTTATGGTAAGTACTGAAGAGTTTATATACCGTATTTTTCGGTGTATAAGACGCACTTTTTTTACCCCAAAATATGATGTCAAAAGCTGCTTGCGTCCTATACATCGAAGGTATGAATAATATATATATGTATATATACAATATACACAAGCCATGTGTAAATATATTTAAATATGCATGCATAGTTTAGTTCAATTGAATGTCTTATTTATAACAATAGCAGTTTTTTTTTTCTTTTAAAAATATAACTATTTATAATGCTGCCTAAACAATAATAAAGAAATTACAGTGAAAGCAATGAAGATTTTGTAGGTTTTGAACCAAATGAAATAACAGTAAACTTTTTTTTTTATTTACGTTATTTTCTTATTTTGTTGTTTTAAGCTCTTTCTGTGTTTAGAACAATATATACTAATTTTTAAAGTATAAAATTGAATTTTTGTTTAATAAAAATCTTTCAAATGCGACCGTAGTTTTTTTTCCCCCAAAACTTTGACTTCAAAATAAGGGTGCGTCTTATATTCCGAAAAATACGGTATGTGTTTTAATTGATTAGAAGGCAACGTATTTATTTATTTTCTGTAAATGTATTTGCTTATTCACTTTTATAACAATTACTACTTGGTATTTTCAACCCGATCAGTTCATTATGAGACACTTAGGCTAAACGGTCAAGTCGAGAACTACGAAATATCAAGCATAACCACCCATAATTTAGAAGCACTAACTAGTGGAAGGGAAACTCTAGAAACACCCACTGTTTCCACGCCTTCTCTTGATCGAATATTAGTATTGAATGTTCCAGTTATAACGCCCCCACAGCTGAAAGTGCGGAGCCTGAATTCATTATCAGGAAGTATACTTAAATATAAAAAAGAAATATATTGTGTACTTAACTACAACATCCTCCTTCTATGCAGGTTCAATATTCACGTCACGTTACCGCAATAATAGAAGTCGCGCTCCTCACTTTGAAACCGGGGGTGTATTATAAAGTTGATCAAACTTCAAATGGCTCAAGAGTTGGCGATTGGTGCTGATTAGTAGTTGCCTTCTCACTAGTCTATCGCTTCAAAATTAAGGCCTTAGTAGTGCTACACGAATATCCGCAAACAATCTTCATCCCAATGCCAAAGTTTAAAACGTTTCAAGCTGCATAATATCCAAACATAAGATTTTCTTATGTTGGAAGTATAAAAACTTATAGTAGAATGAAAACATTTAAGTGTAGGATGGTCCATTAAAAACACATTACGAATAGTTTAATTTGATTTTGTTGAAATAGTTTAGACTATTAGTTATTTAACGTTTAAAATTCGTGAAGTTTATTTGGCTGTGCTAGTTGTTTCAGTTGAATCTCGTATTCTCCAAAATAAATCAAAATCATGTCTATGAGGTTTTCCGAAAACTTTGAAGTTTTTTTGGTTATCTATTTTATCCCTTAGTTATATATATCAGTTACAGCAAGGCGTTTTCATGTGAAATTTAACTGGGTAACCATATTGCTCACGTGAATAAATTCTTCTTTAAAGCGTAAAGCTGCACAATGGGATGTATTTGGTCTGTCCACGTCGGGAATCCAAACCCGATTTTTAGCGTTATAAGCCCGTAGGCTTACCGCTGGGCTCACATGTGTTTAAATGCTTACTCAAAATATTACTTTCAATTTTATGATCGCAATTGGCAAGGGCTCAGCTATTAGGTTGGATGTTCTGTGGCTGTACTGGGTACCCACTCAAGTGAACTTGTGCACCCAAATTGGTGTCTAGTTACTATGTAGAAAACATCCTGAGTTATAGGTACGTTTCTTATCATTTGAATAATTCCAGTTAAACGTAACTTGTGAAAAGTATTTAAAAATATATGGATTATTTGTACTGTAAGAGATATTTACATCAAATAAATTTACATAGTTTGTTAGACTTATTTTCAACAATTGACTTTTGTTTGCACTATTGCGGTCTTTCACGCATCTCCTAAATCTCTGCCGAAAACTGGAAGTCGGCCATTTTGGAAGCTTCCGAAATAAAGAAAATATTTATTGGTGTGATAATGTTTTCCCATTATTACGATGGACTTACCTAGCAGTTAAATACATACAATGGCTGAGCCATCAGGTGAAGCGAAAAACTCGATTATACCGTTATGGGCTTATCGATTCTGAGAAAGTGCGTTATGATCAACAATTGAAACTCCTTGGATTTGATTCTCTCGAGATAACAGTTGACAGAAAATGTGGTTCTATTATCACGTATTCCATACAGAAACATTATAAGTTATTTGTTATAGTCACCAAAGAAGAGTTAAAGACTGTTTGTTTGTAATTAAGCACAAAGCTACACAATAAGATATCTGTGCTCTGCCCACCACGGGTATCGAAACCCGGATTCTAGCTTTGTAAGTCCGCAGACATAAGGCTTGCACATGTTTAAATAGAGATCTTAAAATTTGGGAAGCTCAGTTGAGGGGGTATTAATTTTTGAAGCTCTGTTAAGGGTTTTTAACAATGTTGATTCCATAAAAAGTGCAAGTGGACATATATACTAAGTATAACAGCTTATATACTTCTAAATTCTTGTACTTTTTATTAATACTTTTCAGCCCTGCTCTAGCTTTATTTTCTTTCTGAAATTTGTTTTTTTTTTTCTGACCTTAAAATGGACATCAACTTTTGCCAGACATTTTTATGTATTGTCTTCTTTTCATACTTTCACTCAATAACATTTTCCTGAAATATGATTTAGGAAGTTATAATCTGGTACATCTTACCACCGTTGTGGTCTAATATAATAGCTCAAATAGTCATTAAATAACTAAAGTGTACTTCTCTGTTGATTGTGAAAAGGTCTCCAAAATGGCGGCTCATCAGTTTGTGACGTCAAGTGAAAGACCGAATTTGCTGAAAACATGCGTATGACAACATGGGCGCCGGAAGCAAATATACATTGGTCGAGAAAGGATCCGCTACTTCTACGTATGCGCATTGGATTGTGTTTAGCTATCAATTAATTATGGTTATATAATGCAAAGCAATCAGAATAAATTATATGATTTTTAAAGTTCAATACAATTACTAATTATTATTGATAGTAACGAATAGTTAACCTATACAATATTGCATTTCTAAAACATATGTTTCACTTCCTGTACTTGCAATACAAGTAGCAACTGAGCCAAAAACAAAAACCTACAGCATGATTTATTCAGAATTAAGAGAGTCTAGCAACAAGTTGTCAGCAATTAGTTAAGATGCATCAAAGGTAAGGAAATAGTTTAAGTCTTGTACTTACATAAAAGTATTATACGTGTGTTTCAGTTTATACACTTTGTAGTCCATAGCCATGTATGTAATAACGGGCTTACAACGAGCGTACACGAAACCTAAATTAACAAGGATCAAAATAGCATCATCGTTTGGCATAAAATTTAACTAACAGTGAGATATTATTGATAAGGCATAACATCGTTCAGTAACAAAATTATCAAAAAATAAGCTTTAAAAAACTTTACCAACTAATCTATTGGTGGAGTAAAATGCCTCACTGGTTCAGGTGTCTTTGAATATATGTATAAATAGAGAGAAATGGAACAAACTACTTTGGTTTGCAATAAATATCACTACATTGAGCTTATATTTTATTCGTTCTGATCTACATACTGTATATTTGTTTTGATAACATGTTTCATTAAATGAAAAGACAGTAGATTGTTCTAGACCATTTATGGACTCATTAAATTGAACTTTTCTGTAATTGATTTAACACTTGGTGTATTTTTGTTGTTTTTTTCTTTTGTTGCGAAGTGTTTCAAATTTCCATTTTTGTAGAAAGCTGTATTCTGAAGTGAGTCGGGAGCAGAATTTTCGTAAAAATGATCATTGTTTCTTTCAGCTTTCAGAACATCGACGCACTTTTTATCAGAAAGGCATCCATAACGATCGGTTAGTTTGATAATTTCATTAAAGTTCTCTAAAGTTCTAGGAGTTGTCAAATATCCGATAAATTTGTTGTTTATTTCTTCATTGTGTACAGACATCTTCGCATTAGATTTCTTCCTGCTTTTAATTGATTCATCGAGATTTCTTCCAAAATTGACCTTAGAATTAGGTGCTCTTCCAAATCTGATCGTGGAACGTGGCACTCTACCAAATCCAACACTTCTAATAGAAGAATCACTTGTTTTTTGAAGTCTCTTCACGGAACTTTGTGTCCTACCAAATCTGATCATGGAATTTGGTATCCTACCATTTCTGATTATAGAAGTTGGCGTCCTTCCAAATTTGATCATGGAACTTGGTGTTCTACCAAATCTGATCATAGAGTTTGGTGTCCTACGAAATCTGGTCATGGATATTGGTGTCCCATCTGTTCTGTTCATGAAATTTGGTGCCCTACCAAATCTGATCATGGAAGTGAGTGCTCTTCCAAATCTCACCATGGAGCTTGGTGACCTACCAAATCTGATCATGGAAGTGGGTGCTCTACCAAATCTCACCACGGAGCTAGGTGACCTACCAAACCTGATCATGGAAGTAGGTGCTCTACCAAATCTCATCACGGAGCTTGGTGACCTACCAAATCTGATCATGGAAGTGGGTGCTCTACGAAATCTCATCACAGAGCTTGGTGACCTACCAAATCTGATCATGGAAGTGGGTGCTCTACGAAATCTCATCACGGAGCTTGGTGACCTACCAAATCTGATCATGGAAGTGGGTGCTCTACCAAATCTCACCACAGAGCTAGGTGACCTACCAAATCTGATCATGGAAGTGGGTGCTCTACCAAACCTGATCATAGAGCTTGGTGATCGACCAAATCTAAGTATAGAATTATCTGCTCTCCCAAATCTATTCAAAGAACTGTCAGTTTTATCAAATCTTGCTGCAGAATTAATTAGCTTATTAAATTTAAATAAAGGTATGACGTTTTTACGAAACGTAACAACAGAATTAGGTTTTCTTCCAAATCTTACCACAGACTTTGTTGTTTTTCCAGATCTTAGCACAGCATTTGGTGATCTTCTAAACCGGGTCATTGAAATTGGATTTCTGTCAAAAGTGATATCACTGTTTGTGCTTCTTTTATGAAGTTTTTTCTCTGAAAATGGTCCCAATATCTCATGGTTTGAATCAGAAAATAAACCACATTTTTCTATTGGTCTTTGGCAAATTACATTCCTGGATACTTTTCTGGTATATCTTGGGATGTCCTTGTGATCTCCAATAGTAGCTAGCTTTTCTAAACCTTTTATGCAACTAAGAAAGATAAATGGTAATGTATTATAATTTTTCTGGAATTTATTTGAAACATAGTTCTTAGAAAGAAATTCGTAATCAGGTTGCACTGAATGAGAAGTTCTCAAATTTTGATCGTCTATTGCATCGAAATCTAACTTATTTAGTGTCGTAGATGAAATACCACGTTCAGAATCATATCCTATATCTGAATATTCTTTCACAGACCTTCCAAACCTAACAAGTGCATTTCCGTTACGAGTCTGCAACGCAAGTGGTTTGGCCTTGCCGCTTCTTTGTTTGTTGTTTCTAAAAGTGTCCAGAACTTTTACTTTTAGGAGGTTTGACAAGTAATACTTTTCTTGATTATGTTTACCAAATGAGTCAGAGGTTCTGAGTTTCTCCATAGTTTGTAGGTTGAAAGGAAAATAAAAATTTAAGAGAGTAAATAACAAGTTAGACGTGACGTCAGAGGAGTATTTCGATGTGGATTCGGTGTTTCGTCCAAATCGTATAAAAACATTGTCCGGACTTTGTCGTTTAACCTTTTTAGCTTCTTCATAATGAACGTTCACCATATTTTCTTTCAGTGGAACTTGGTAAAACCCTTGGGGGAAGAAGTTGTTTGTCAACATCTGAAGCTTTGGATATTGATATACATTAGAAAGAGTGTTGCTGTCAGGGCGGTCATTCGGAAACTGATGTTGATTGCTCAGAATTTCATCATTAAATGAATTCCCGAAAATTCTTCTCTGTACATCATTTTCTTCAGCTGAAGTGTAAAATAAATCAGTTGTAAGATATTTTCACAAGAAAATTTATCATGAGAGTTTAACAAATTCTGAATTTCTTATTAACGTTATTTTTTATTCGTGTGTGTTCTTCTATCAAGTTGACTCAAACATCCAACGTTTTCTAGAGTAAAATATTCATATTGTTTAAATATTTTGGTATTAAGTCTTCTTCGTTATTAGTATGTAATGTACACACTTTCATAACATACTGGTAAAAACAATAAATATAAAACACCAAGTGATGAAGTAAGAAAGCCTCTTAACTTACAAGATGTGGTAAAACCTCGCAGTATGCGTTTAATAAATTTGAAGCACAATACCATGACATGTCTGTTGTCCAAATGAGACGACCAATTCGCAGCATACACAACAAGCACGTGAAGAACACGTAAACATCTTTAACAACAGGAATGTCATGATAAAATACCTCTGTGATGAGTTGGAAATACATTCACATGATTTTCAAGAGTTATTATTCTAATAATAAAACATTTTATATTTCATTAGTAAGAAAAAAAAGCAATGAATGAGGTAGAGACAGTTACTGTTGTGATAACCAAAATAATAAAAAAACACATATGTAAACGTTACGGTTTAAACGCTGAAAGCCGACGAAATATTGGAAAACCAACAGGCCTAAGAATTGCTATAAAAATAAGTTTACTTGTTTTTATGACTATAGATGCTATTGTATTTATCGAAATGGATTTACTAAAGTGACGATATTCTGCGACAAACAGAAGCTGGATGAAAGATTTGTGAAATTCATAATTATGGTGTTAAAATTACTTATAAGACAAAAAATCATTTAGATATGTGTTGCACTTAAAGGCTTTCGTATTTTGCCAATAAGCTAAATTCAGATTTATGTAAGGCCAATACTTTTATTTTAAGAAATTCAATTTATTTCTTTAGCCTTAAGTATAAACCATTTTAAGGGTAAGTGTTACTGACAATTTCTAATCGCTCACTTACGGCGAATGGCATGGATGAAATTTATCCCTGGAAAGGTTACAAAGTTGAAATATTTTTGTGCTGCAGTATATCATTGTCTTTTTGTAAATAGTTACTTATTGCAGGATTAAACAGATATTTTGTAACTAAAGTATTTGTTTATGAAAATATATTTCATTTCAAATTTCAAGTTTGAAACATGCATGTCGTTGTGCATGGAATGTTTTGATTAAGGTTATAGAACTTTATTGTAATTTAGTATATCAGAAGAGAGTGGGTGAATCAAAGTTTAAGAAAGATAGCAATTAAAAAAGAATCAAACAATTAGAATATTTTAATATTCAGATATTGTGTACTTTGTGGCCAAATCAGTAAATATGACCTTAATAGATTATGTTAATTACCTCTGTAAAAAGTTTAAGTTAAAAGTAAAATTGTTGAAAATAAAAATTATGAGCGACTTTTAATACCATATACATTTTTTTAGAAGGTAAGATTTGTTTGTTTGTTTTTGAATTTCGTGCAAAGCTACACGAGGGCTATCTGCGCTAGCCATCCCTAATTTAGCAGTGTAAGACTAGAGGGAAGGCAGCTAGTCATCACCACCCACCATCAACTCTTGGGCTACTCTTTTACCAACGAATAGTGGGATTGACCGTAACATTATAACGCCCCCACGGCTGAAAGGGCG